GCTGCCCCAGGGGTGATGCCAGCTGGGGGGCTCCTGTGCTGGCAGCTACACTGAAGCAAGGAAGGGGCTCTGTGCAGCTCAAGTCCAGAACCACTAGGATGTCCTTGCCAACACATTTCAAGGCCATAGCTCGTTCAGGCTTTATTTTTAAAGCAAGTCAGATACTGTGGTTACAAAACTGAAATCGTGGCTTAATGATATGGTATTAACTTTCTAGCGCAGACTTAAGAAAATCATCTTGTTGACCAATACTGAATGTTTCCTAAGTAGGTGAAAATATGTTGCTTAGAAAATACAGATCAGGAGGTTTACAACATACACGAATAGATTTATTTTTTTTTTTCACCAGTTAAACATTTTAGAGCAGAAATTGGAGGGGGGGGAAAGGAAGCTGAAGGAATCAAGACTAAATAAGATTAGTGTAGCTTTGCTAGCAGGAGCCCTTAAAATGTAAGATTACAGCCCTGATTTCACTGGCTCCAGTGCATTGGCCCTTTCTTAAGGATTTTTATGTAATTGTATGGATTTATGACATATGTCTGTAACTAAAATGCTATGAGTGAGCATCTGTCTGTTTTTAATAATATTTAAACTCATTGAAGGCTAGTCCTCTTTGCTTTAATTAGAAAATGTATTTCAGCTAGTCCTGTAGCTGATGTGGACTGCTCACATTCATTTGAACTGCACAAATGAATATCGGCCTGAAAAACAGCAGAGGATTTGTGTTGGGTTTTTTTAAGAAACCAAATTAGATAAGATTGGCATCATCCCTCAAGTTTTGTAGTTTAAAAAAATACGGAAATCCTTGGTTTAAATTCTAATATTGGATGTTCTTATCCTGTAACTATTATTTTCACTTTGTTTTTACAAAGGCCTTTGTAGATTTAAAAAGTAATGAAAATACATCAGATCTGTGACTGTTACTTGGACCTGAGGTAAAACTCATGACCCAGAAACAACCCGGACCCTGAATGCTCATTTCAGTTGGTATCTGTGCTGTGCTGGGCCTTCACTCCACGCGTGTAACTCAGGTTAACTCGCTTGGCACCGGTGGTGGGGTGTGGAGCTTGAGATAAGTGGCTTCCTCCCAAAAGTGAGGAGGAATCACAGAGCTCTCTTAAACATCAGACATCTCTTCACAAGTTGAGGATGTCTTCTTTGATGAGTCCTCAGGCAAACATTTCAAAACTGCTCTATGAAACTAAAAAAAAAAATCCCCAGAACAAAACGCAATGTAGACCCAGTAGCTCTAGTTTCCTTGCTTTGTCAGGTGTTCTTAGTGAAAGAATCTATGGAAGCTAAATCGCCTTTTTATCTAATGATCGGTCGTTATCTCTCTCCCTAGTGCAAGTCTAGGTACAGGGAGTAGAAGCATTCTCCTGGGGAGATGAGGTTTGCTTGCAAACCCCTTTCTGCAGGGCTTCCTTGCTTAACGTCACTCAACTGGTATGGAGCTGCAGAGGAAGGAGGAAAAAGGCCTTTGCCCTCTAAACTACCACCTGAATGCACTTTAATAGATTTATCCCTGTAATTATCTACTAGGCCAGCTATGTCATCCCGAGCTTTAAATTAGTCTGTGTTTTGAAAGTAGCGTCCTCTTCCCTTGTTGGGCTGAAGCTGAGACCCAGCTGACCCTTTTCAGCATAAGCTGAAAGTTGTATTCAGCCTATCTGATGCTTGAATTCTTCCCTTTACAGCCCAAATAACATCCAAAGAAGGTTTGTTACCAGGTAAGTGTGTCGCTGTGATTGAGTCCTGGTAATGGCTCAGTGTTTGTTCCTAGTGATGGAAGGAAGTAAGAAAAATATTTTCAGTGTGGGTGCAGTATTAATGAACTTTTCACACACACAAGGGGTGAGACCATCAGCTCTGCTGCATGTAGTAGGATGAGTATTCAGTGATTTTTTTTTTTTTTTCCCCTTAGGGTGGTGTTTTTGGTTATGCCTTTTTTACCCCCCCTTGCTTTCTCAGTTCTTAACTACCTGTCTCTGATATAATTACTATCTCTTCTCTCATGTACCCCCTCGCAGATGGAGATCAAGATTTATTTAAGTAAAAAAATGAAATAAATAAAAAAAACACACCAAAAAACCCCTCAGTTCTGTTTGACCCAGCTAAGCAGCATGTGGTTCCCTGTGGTGCCTGCCCTTCAAATACCAAAAGAGGAAGTGCACAAGCACCGCAAGGAATTTCTGAGGTTGAATGTATGGTATCTTCCACTGCATCTCTGTCCTGCGGGTGTGAGGAGGGGATCATAGGTTGGAGTCAGATCTAGTGCATGGTCGGGCACTCTGTGAACTAATTACTGTTGGATTTTATTTTTATTTTTTTTTAAAGAAAAACTGGTAATGTAGCTGTGAACTGGTATGTCAGCAGCAGGAAGTTCAGTGTCTCATAAAACGTGCTGAAACCTCTGGTGTGTACTTGAGACTTGCTACCATGCAACTTGCCTATAATCTAGAGGTTGTAGTTAGTCTGAAATTCAAGCTGTCCAAAAAAAGTCACAGCAAAGTATGTTAATGTGCTTCAAAACCTCTTTATTAAGAGGTAATGAGCAGCAAGCTCTGGAACAATGCCTTTAATTTCCTTTTTGCTTCCTGCCCCCCTAGATGTACTTCAAATTTATTTTGGTGGCTTTTCCTTGTTTAGGGTGTTTTGGGGTTTGTTTTTTTTTTTGGAGCTCTTCCAACTGCATTTTTTCTTTAAGCATGAGGGTTGCAGTGCCAAGATACCTCTGGCTTTCTGCTCCGTAGCAAGTGTTATTTGCTGCAGCACCACTCTGAATAGCAGCCATTATTCGCTTGCTATGTGAAATTTGCTGAGCCAGCAGGACAGGAGCAGCAAGGCTGCTTACCTGGAAGCCGAGCAGCTGCAGTATGAGGCTGGAGAAGTGGCTGGCAATGTGTGTAGGAGCTCACACATCTCTTTTAACCAACTCCCAAAATCCAAAGAGTTGTCACAAGTAGAGTATAGAATAGTATACATGTCTAGAAGGGTAGAGTTGCCAATGCTTAAAGTATTCCAAGATTGTGGGAAGCTGAAAGGCTGGTGCCTGTGTGTGTGTCTGTCTATCTGTCTTTCTTTACATCCTAGTGCCCTTCAGCAAACTGTTTGCCTTCCCTTAGTACAGCTGCCCTGTGCGCAGCTGGTAGACTTAAGAAGTTGCACTTTAAATGGAGAGGGCAAAGAAAAGCAGTTCTGTAACGTGATTGTTACTTTTCAGAAGAAGAATCTTAAAGCTGGGATTGAACTGTAAGAGTGGCTTGACAGAGAGTTTAGTATTCTGTCTGCTGTGAGGGCTTTTTTTTTTTATTATTTTTGTAACAGCTACCTATTCTAGCCAGAAAGTGTGTCAGCTGCTGGCTGCAGGAGCAGTTAAGCAGCCTGCTTATGGCCAAAACCCCCCTTGCAGCAGCCTGGACTTTGCCACTTGCAGCTAATACACTGTTGTTCTCATCGTCCAAGTTTTAAATCTGGTTTCTGCAGTGATCTTGACATTGCTTCCGTTTGCCAGTGTGTGGCAACCAGAGTGATTTTCTCTTGTGTTTGTTGGTTTGTTAATATCTTGTAATTTCTCTTCTCTTTTGTGTGGCAGTCTTGTACTGAAAATAGGGTATCATGCTATTGCAAAACACTGTTATTCTTAAAAAACCACTTTGGCCGGATGCTGTATTTTCTTGCACTGTAATTTCTCAGAGGCAGAAGAAAAAAAATCAAAACAACACTCTACTTGATATTTCTTAAGGATGTTGGTTTCTGCAACTGATACGTCAAAGCTGAAGGTGCAAAATTCGCTTTCTCAGTTTGCGTGATGAATTCAGAATTGCATTGCTGCATGAATGTTAATTTTATTTCTCATCCAAAATAATTCAAGTATGTTTTGTATGATTCTGAGACCCTCAAGGTGTCCACCTTCCTTCCACTTCCTCTGGGAGTTAAAATCAAGTACAAGTCCAGATTGTTTGTAGGCTGAGTAACAAAGAAAGAGCACTGAACAGCAATGCTGCTTCAAAAGCTTAAGATGATTTTTGGGTCTGAAGGGCAGGCAGGGTTTCTTCTATCCCTCCAGCTTATGACATTCACTTTAAAACAGAGTGAAGGAGTGATGAGTGCTTTCTTATAGGCTTAGATATAATACTCAGGCTTCTCAGCTTTGATAGCAACCTGTGATTTCTCTCGCCGTCTCCCAGCAGATACTGTTCTGTTCAGTGCTGTTTGTGAAATGAAAGTAGGCTGATCTCATTGCTTCTCTGAAGACTTTATTGGCAGTTTGGATGTAGTTATGAAATAATTATTGAAGTCCAAGGCTGCAGAGTATTTCAAGCTATTGGTTAACTATGAGCTACTAAACAAGCCTATTCTTTGTTTGCTTACCTGAAGAGCCCAGAAGTTCTTGATGAAATCAGTGCTGGTGCTATTACATGTCAAGTAATTGTGGTAATAAGCTTGTGAGAGGTTGCTGTGTTGAATTGTTTTAATTCCACAGATTCTTAACTGAAAAGGATCTTGAGTGTTTCCTCCTTGGTTTGTTGTGGGCTCAGGACTGGCATAGCTGAAAATTGCATTTTCCAGAGGGGCCTGAGGCCACTGTATTTTCCCTTGTGTTATAGCCTGTCCTAAGGGACTAAAGACTTCATTGTGCATCCATGCTTTGGCTCATGGACGACAAAAATCTGTCTCTCTTAAAGGCAAAAGCTCTGAGGGTTCAGTTCACCTTTTTCTCTTCAAGATAGCGTTAATTTGCTGTTGTTGCACTTCTGCCACTTCAAGACCTGTTTCCTTAACAGGACTCTACTGTCTTTTTTACCTGTAGTATTTGTTGCGATATGATTAATGCTTGCCTGTGTTTAAGTCTCTCAAAATGTTTGCAAATGCTGGTTATGGTTCTCCTGCTTACCTGTGTCTTATCTTCTGTTGTTTTCTTAAGAACCCAGTCTCTGGTTGCTACTAATCTGTGGTCAGTCTGGGGTTTATTTGGGGTTGTTTTTACTTTTATTGGTTTTTTTTTTTCTTAGTTCCCCCCCCTTCCTTTGCTAAAGACTGTGAAAAGTTGACTTGAAAACAAAGTTGTGTAGATGAGCCTTTTGTCTGATCTGCTTTTCTGGGGTGATTTATGGTGTCTTTTTATTGCTGGTATGCTTTATGTACAGCTATGGTTGATGTTTGGATACACACAAGCTGTGGAGAAGGAGAGAGCAAACTTAGGTTTGTCTTACGTTTATACTGATCGTTAACTCTTATTTTTTAATGGTGGTTTGGTGGTTTTTTTTGAGGCTGTGATTGTTAGAGACTTTTGCTGATAGTGTTTTAGGGCCCCGTTTGTTTTTTCAACTGAGATTTCCTGATCTCTTGCAGCAGAGCTTCCTCCTCCGTACACTGCCATTGCAAGCCCAGATGCCAGCGGTGTTCCTGTCATAAACTGCCGTGTGTGCCAGTCGCTAATCAATTTGGATGGCAAGCTACACCAGCACGTTGTTAAGTGCACAGTTTGCAATGAAGCTACGGTAAAATAGATTTTTAGCATTTTCTTTCTGTGGGGGGATGTTGAAGTATGTCGTTGGTAGAATTCATGTCCTCACCTACCGAGGGTGAGTCCCTTCCTGCCATCCCTGCAAAGGACCCATCAGGGCAGTAGTGACCGCTGGTGTAGGTAGTGTGCAGATTCAGGGATTGCTGGCACAAGGATGGTCTTAAGCAGTTGGAATAAATCTTTTTGCTGTTGAGCTGCACAGGATATTTCCTTCTGAGGAGGACAAAAAGCAAAGATGTCATTTAAATTATTATGCTTCTGTGAAGAAGAGTGAAACTGGTTGTAGTGGGATGAAGAGAAATGAAGAAATGAATTATTTTGAGTGGTAGAAACAAAGTAACTAACCCAGACTGTACGCTTTCCTCCTGCAATACTCTTCAGTCAGTTTGTTAGGTTGTTAACAAACCACAACACAACAATTCTGAAATGCATTAATTGTAAGTTCTTTTCCAGTGATCACAGACCAGTTCTTTTTTTCCCCCCCTCCTCTTTTCTTAATCCATGTCTTCAGTATTTGGCACCCTGGTTTTGTTTCTTTTTCTTTCCTGACAGTTTTAGTTTTGGGATCTGGAGAACGCAAAAAGCTGAAGATGGACTTTTTTCAAGGACATGGGGTGATAGGACAGGGGGCAATGGTTCAAAACTAGAGCAAGGAAGATTAAGATTAGATATTAGGAAGAAGTTCTTTACTATGAGAGGCACAGGAACATGTTGCCCAGGGAAGCTGTGGATGCCCCCTCCATGGAAGTGTGCAAGATAAGGTTGGATGGGCCTTTGAGCAACCTGGACTAGTGGGAGATGTCCCTGCTTATGGCAGGGAATTGGAAATAAGTAATCTTTAAGGCCCCTTCCAACCCAAACCATTCTATGATTCTATTATCTGATACCTCGTTTCAATGTCCTTGAAAAACACTGGATTGGATTTACTTTAGGAAAATAACTTTGAATTATGTTAAGCAAACTGGAAGCCTTAAAACTGAATGAAAATATTTTATTTTTTTCACTTAGAGAGCAGAGAACCTGTCATTAATACTCACTTTCCCAAGTCAAGCCAAACAAAGTATCTTGCAGCTTTTGATTTGCTGTGTGAAAGGAACCCAGAAAGTTGACTCCCAGGTTGGAGAAAGATAACTTCAGTACAATTTAAAGTAAGATTACAGTTCAGCCATATCTGTGTATTCTCTAGGTGACTGAGAACCAAGCTGTGATCCCTTCACTGTTGAATAAAGCCATTGTACCAGGCAAGGAGGCTTGTTTGATGTTTTGACTTTAGAACAAAAAAAAATACCACTGCTTAAGCTCACATTGTAAAAAGTAACCAAACTGAGCTCTTCAGTTCTTCATTGCTAAAATATGAGTGTTTTTTCCATTAGTTTGCATAATCTCTTATTTGTTCTAGTGAGGAAATTTGCACTTCTTCCTCTGGGAAGAGAGAGAAAACTTCTAATTTTGTTTTGACACTCAGGTTTTCTTTGTAAGAGGAACTGTATTTCTCTGTTAGCAAGAACTTGTCACTGAAGTTGCTCTGCTTTGTCATGCTGTTCTGAAGAAAAAAGTGAACTGCTATGACTTCTGATGTGTGTTCTCTGGTGGGTTTCTTTTGTTTAGCCAATCAAAAACCCTCCTGCAGGGAAGAAGTATGTTAGATGTCAATGTAACTGTCTCCTTATCTGTAAGGATACGTCTCGGAAAATAGGCTGTCCAAGACCAAACTGGTAAGCACAAAAAACTGTAAGTGCCTTGAGATAGTTCAATTTAAAGCAATACTCTTTGTGTTGAATACTTAAAACTAAAAAAGGTTCAAGCCTGAGCCTCTGTACATGGACACTTAACAGAGCATTACTGCAGACACAAGTTGTACTGGTGTCAATTTTGATTTTTTTATTTTTTTTTCGGATTAAAGAAGAAAAACTTTCTTCTTTTGTGTAGGGTGGTAGTCTCAAATATGTATTCTGATTTTAGCTACTTACTAAGGAACAAATACAGAAAATCACTTGTTTCTGGGGTATAACATTCATAATTTCTCAAAAACTTAATTATTGTAAACACGCAGGTTGGTCACTTTATCAAGTTCAAAGTGGGGACTTAGAAGTGAAACAGGACAGAGAGCAGTAGTTTGGCTTCACTCTTGTCCTTCCTTCTTTGTTAGGCTGAGTTTTTAATCTCTCACCTCTCCACTTTATTTTACACATTTTTTTGTCAAAGAAACAGGCACAACTGCAATAATGAGAATTCTTACAATTGGGCTTAGGGCGTTAAAAATCCCACTGAGGTAGGAGTAATTTAATTGTAAACCTGATCTCCTTCAGTGACAGCATGACCTGCTGGTTGGATGAAGGAAAGGCTGTGGATGTTGTCTACCTTGACGTAGTAAGGCATTTGACACAGCATTCTCCTGGAGAAACTGACTGCTCTTGGCTCGGATGTGCACACGCTTTGCTGGGTGAAAACCTGGTTAGATGGCCGAGTCCAAAGAGTTGTGGTCAACAGAGTTAAATCCAGTTGGCAGCTGGTCATGAGTGGTGTCCCTCAAGGCTTGGAACTGGCCCCAGTCCTGTTTAATATTTTCATCAATGATCTGGACAAGGGGATAGAGTGCACTCTTACTAAGTTTGCAGATGACACCAAGCTGGGTGGAAGTGTCGATCTGCCTGAGGGTAGGGAGGCTCTACAGAGGGATCTAGAGGGGCTGGATCACTGGGCCAAGGCCAATCACATCAGTTTCAATAAGGCCAAATGCCCTGTGGGTCCTGCACTTTGGTGACAACAGCCCCCAGCAGCGCTACAGACTTGGGGAGGAGTGGCTGGAGAGCTGCCACGCAGAGAGGGACCTGGGGCTGTTGATGGGCAGCCGGCTGAACATGAGCCAGCAGTGTGCCCAGGTGGCCAAGAAGGCCAACGGCATCCTGGCCTGGATCAGGAATGGTGCTGTCAGCAGGAGCAGTGAGGTGATCATGCCCCTGTACTCGGCTTTGGTGGGGCCTCACCTTGAGGAGTGTGTCCAGTTTTGGGCCTCTAACTACAAGAGGGACATTGAGGTGCTGGAGAGGGTACAAAGACGGGCTACCAAGCTGGGAAGGGATTTGGAGCAGATGTCGTATGAGGAAAGGCTGAGGGATCTGGGGCTGTTTAGCCTAGAGAAGAGGAGACTGAGGGGAGATCTTATTGCTCTCTACAACTATCTGAAAGGAGGTTGTAGCGAGATAGGAGTTGGTCTGTTCTCCCTAGTGGTGAGTGGTAGGACAAGGGGAAATGGCCTTAAGTTGTGTCAAGGGAGGTTCAGGTTGTATATTAGGAGGGATTTCTTTACTGAAAGGGTTGTCAGGCATTGGAACAGCTTGTCTGGGGAGGTGATTGAGTCACCAACCCTGGAGGTGTTTAAGAGATGGGTAGATGTTTTGCTGTGGGACATGGTTTAGTGGTGTTGATAGGGCTAGGAAAAGGTTGGACTCAATGATCTTTAAGGTCTCTTCCAGCTGAAAATGTTCTATGATTCTATGGTGCAGCTCTAACAGGAGATATCGAGATGAAAGCTAGGTCTGCAGATACATGCAGCCACAGTAAGTGCCCTTGTCACAAGCCTGTTGGCTATTTTGATTGTGAAACACAGTTTGAGACCTGGGACAAATGTATTTAGGTTTTTTTTTTAAAACTAATGCAGTGTTTGGGAAAATTCAAAACATTCCAAGTGTTTTCTGAGAGTGAAAAGATGTTCATGGGTTACTTCATGTGTAATATATAATATAGTTGGTAACCAAGCTGCTTCGAAAACTCCCTAATTTTATTAAGCCAGTCTCAAAAGCATGTATCTCGGTAGTTTTCCTAAGATAGCCTCTGCATTTGTCTTAATAGAACATGAGCAAAATTGGGGTTCTCTGAAGGAGACAGTTGGGAGTATGTCCTAAATGGCTGAAGGGAGGCCATCCAGAATACCATTTTCATTGTATATAGAGAGGGATGCAGTGCAAGTTAAAAAATGCTTTAGTTTTTCTCTTCACTTTTTCATGCTCAGAAGTCCAATCCTCATCCTGCTTTGAGTTGACTAATTTGGGTACTGTCACTTTTGGATGGACAAATTGTATAATTGAACTGGAAACACAGTGAACATAAGGAAATACTTACCAACTGTTTTTTAAAGTAAATTGGTTTTATTTAGTCAACTTGGGGTGATCTTTTTTTTTAAATTCACTCAGTTTAAATGGTATTTTTACTGTACAAATGCAGATCTGATTACCAGTAGTTTGGGAAAGAGGAGTTACCTGACTTGGAGAGGAGAACTAGGTCATGGAAGAGTCCTTACTCTTTTTGCATGTTTTACATGGGAATGTACCTCCCAATTCATGGGCTCTCTCAGCCTGATATTAAGTTTTCATTTTTCTGAGGAGTCTTTCTGCCATGTGATGGCAAGTCTTTGATCTCTGCAGGGTTCTGGCTGATCTTACAGTGAAAGAGAATGTTTTCAAAACTAAAAAGGAAAACACTTTGGAGAGAGACAAAAACCTGGGCGAATCACCTGTTTCAAAAACAAATTATAGTTTAAAAGTGTAAAATATTTGGTAGTGACTGAGCTAATTGCTTAAATGCATTGTCCTTGTCTTTTGCTACCTTAATTACATGTACATCTAATGTTCTTAATGCAGTAGACGCATCATTACTCTTGGTCCGGTAATGCTGATCCCAGAAGAGCAGCCAGCTCAGCCTGCCTTGCCAGTCCAACCAGATGGAACTAGAGTGGTATGTGGGCACTGTGGAAATACGTTCCTTGTAAGTAAAGCGCCAGATTCTCCTTCTCGCCTCACCCTGCTGTCCCTCAAGCAATGTGTTGCAAGCACTTTTACGAGCATGTTGCCTCAGTCTGTGGCATCATTGAACTAAAACTTCGGTACTCATGTTGCTGTGGATGTCTGGGCTGTATTTGGTTCTCTTTAGGTGCATTTCAAGAAAACATTTAACAGTGTTTCTGTGCATGTGTGGATAAAGCCCAAAGTCAGTCTTAATGCATAGTAAAGTGAAAGTGGACAGTGCTGGGAAAAGAAGTTACATTTCCGGGTTCATTTTAGGCTTGCATTGGTGGTTTTGTTCTGCCATGGCTAAGAGAGCAGTTCTGCCGTTGCCTTATGGGCCCCTGTTTGTTGTAACACTTGCCATTAGCAAATCTGTCAGTTGTTACAGAGCTGCAGATTTTGGGTTGTATGGGAGGCTGATAGTTGATCCTGGTTTTGAAGTGGAAGGATGAAAGAATACTCGTTTGCTGTTGAACTGTTTGCAGCCCCCTATATGGAATAAGAGGGCTGCCATGATTGAAGTTTGATTTTGCAAGAGTCTTGCAATACACAAGTAGATAGGGTAGCTTTAGCTTCACCATCTAGCAGTGCTTGAGTGTTTCTCAGGTTTATGAGTTATGGCTAAGGAAAGCAGTGCAGCTGGAGGACCTGCACAGTCACTAGAGTGGTGCTACGTTCCTGAAGCAAAGGCTCTTAAGATATGAAAAGGCTAGAGAATAATCAGGTGCATTTTGTGAAAGGAACAAAGGGAGCCTAGGGGATGGTGCTCCGTGCTGGTTTGTATAACAGCGAGAGAAGGGTTTGCTTGTGGTAGATTCTGTAACAGAATAGACTTATTCCTTCCAACCTTTGTGTCAGGTTTATGGGTCAGTGAGGTGTGCAATAATGGCTTAACTACTTATAGTAGATGATGAATGCAGGGAGCAGGAGGTGGCTCTTATGCTTTTTTTTTTTTTTTTTAAAGAGGAACTAAGGATTTGATTCTGGGTTTATGAGTAATGTAGTATCTCAGAAATCATTAGAGGGATGCTTGAGAGATAATCTTTATCTACTAATTCTGCCCGTATATAAAAAATTTTAAATATTCCTATGAAAACTCTTTCTGAAGAATGGTAGTCTGTAACTGGAGATGGCTGGAGTGAGTTTTCTGTTTGCTTTCTTAAAAATGTAAGTCCATATGTGATCTTAACTAGTAAGAATATTGTATGCAATATAGAATAACGTTACTAACGGGAAACTACTGGATCTTCGGAAGAAAAAGACTGTCTCAAGAACATATTCTAAACATGGAACCTTTTATTAAAGATTGTCTTTAAGTTACAAACTGTTAAGCATTTGCATGAACATTGTAGTTTAACACAGAGTCATAATTTAATTTTGCAATGCAATTATATTTCTTAGCACAGCTTAAAATGGCACAGGCAAAAGAAGTGCTGTAGAAGAGTTACAGTATTAAATTTTAATGTGGTCTCTTAACACAAAAGATTGTCTGTACGTTATTTAATCTTTTTATAAATTTATTAGGGAGAGTCAGTATTATGAAGTAAAATTCTTATTGCTAAATTATTGGTCTATCTTTGGGGGCTTTCATGAGCACAAGAATTTTATTTATCGTCATCCTCTGTTTACTTTCTGCAAGTGCAGCCCAAATTAATTCTGTAGTTTACACTATGAACTTGTTTAGATGAATGTAAAGGGCAAAAAACCCAACCGAACACCAACAAAAACCCCCAAAACTAAAACAACAAAACCCATAGAGGCTGATTTTGCTCATAACTACTAGATTGTGCCTTAAAAGACTTAAGTTTTCTAATTTGGAATTTATGTATGTGACTTCAGAACTGATAGCTTTAGGGAATTTTGTAATTTTGAGCTTCATAGTCCTACCTGCCAGTAAAGCCCATTTACCACTTCACGGTATATTGAAAAGAGACAGTCATTAGAAACTGAAGCTTGAGTTCTTTTATAATGAGTTATCAATCAACAAACCCTTTTTGCTCACTTCACACAGATTTCCCACCACTCTTTTGCCTCTGCTTTTTCTATCACCAAGTTTGAGATTCTGCAAATAAATTGGTTTTAGTTAAGAAAAATCAGAAAATTGTTTGGGTTTGAAAGTGAACAGGGAATAAAAAAAAAGAATAGAAGTGCTTTAGCCAACCTGGAGACTTAACTTCTGTGAGGGTATGTCTGCCCTTTGAGATCTCCACATTGCAAAGCAAATATGCAATGCTAGATGCATCTCTCAGCAACTCACTGAGCTATCTCCTTTACTTGTCATCTAAAAAAATAAATAAAACAGACAAGTAAATCTAGAATCCCTGGGGTGGAAAAGTCAAATTGTCAGCTGCTTGTTCCGTGTTTTTTTCGAAGAAGGATGAACTTGTTCACCACCTTTCCAAGAATTTTTTTTTTCCACCATACGAAAGCACAAGTATGGGCTGTGCTTTCCCTGCCTCTGGTGTTTCTGTAAAGTTACTACGAGCATGCTCTGTGCTGTGAAGCGCCTTCAGGTCTCTCTGTCTCAGCTGGGAGCGTGACTTAGTACTGAAGTGATACTGTAGTTGAACTCGCCATTCACATTTTGTTAATCAGATTGTCGTGGTATTTTTTTTTAACTTGGGTAACACGATAGGGATCTTTTTTCTGTTAAGGTTTCCACTCTTTGTGGCAGACTTGGAGTTCAGACGAGTGGAAAAAGTGGTAGAACAGAAAAGGAGGGCAGGACGAGAGTTTGACTGTGCTGCTGAGTCACAATCTGATCTGGTTTGGGCTGTTTTGAGAGCATCTGGACTTCGACTGTGGCTGAGTCTGTTTCTGCCAGCAGTAAGACATTCCTGCCCCACAAGCCCTCTCCCAGGGGTCTCTGCTTGTGATGATTTGTGACTGCTGGAGGCTGAGTTGCCTTTGGGAATGGTGGCAGAGGCGGGGGAGTCCCCGGGCCTCCCTCCAGGCTCCTCCTGCTGTCAGAGAGAACCTCAAGGACAAGAAGGCAGGAGCTGTAGGCTAAGCACTGTGATTTTGTCAGTTGTGCTCTGTCAATTTAATTTTTTAAAAAACTACTCAAATACGAAAAGTGTTTCTTCAAAAATAATTTAATAGAAAACCCTTTAAATTCTTTAAGAAACTAAGAAGTGTTTTAATCTGCAGAAACATTTTGCTTTCCCAAAGGACCTGGGGGGCATGGAGGGGAAGACTTTTTTTTTTTTTGGCAGAAGCAGCTGTATATAGGGATGTGTGTGTACATATATATAGATATCTAGATATAGATGTATATGTATATGTCTTTTTTTTTTCTTTCCTTTGTCTTGTGTTGAATGCATTGAGAACTATTTTAGGCTCAGAAGGAAGAAAGTTTGACATATTCTTCTAGTAAATTGCTTAATGGATGTCTGGTTTTGTCATTTAAGAGCACTCTGAAATCCCCATCAGTGTTACAGTACATCTAACCAGGGTTTTGGGCTACTGTTTATTGTATTGTTTCAATGAAAAAAATACAGTTTGCATTGTCACCGGGGACCTACATGAAACTGAAACCTCAAGTTTTCTTAATGACAAGAAACAAGATTAGGTACTTCAAAGCACTCTGCAAGATGAGTAGAAATACTGCAATATGAGTAAAAAGCTTTAAGCGTGATTTGAACTACTTGTTAAAACCAGCAAAACTCCAAAAATTAGAATGTGCATTCAAATAACCTTTTTCTAATGTGTTAATGTGGTCTGGATTCTTGTAATTTGAATCTCTTGTGGTATTTTTGCCCTTTTTTTTTTTTCCCCTGCAAATATTTCTGGTATGTGGAGAAGATATCATAACAATTCGTGCTTCCAGGTATCTCTCAATGAAAATACCTCAAATGCCTCATTTTACCTTCAGTATTTAGAGCCCAAGAGCATTTGAGATTGTATCCATTAATAATTATGGCTAGTAATCAGAAAGCTTAAAATAAGTAGAACCTTAGAAAAATCATTAATTGAGTAACTTTGGAAATGGAGTTGCCTACCCTGGAATAAAACTAGTGTACAGAACTGAAGTTGAGTTACAGATATGTAAAACATAAGTCCTGGATTTAGATTTGCTTATTTCCAGAATTGCAGTTTAAAAAGCTGAAAGAACAGATAGGCTCGTCTCCATCCTCAGTACTGACAACCGCACCTTATCCTGCTTTGCCATGTAGAACTAAGTGAAAATGAGTCGTTTTTGGCAGAAATGCAGGCAGAGAGCCAGCTTGCTTCTGTGGCAGGAATGTGAAAGTAGTATTAATGCTCCTAAACCAAATTGCTCAGGTGGGGATTTACAGAAACTTTCCTTTTATTAGGGGATAAAATACAACTATGCTAAATCAGTTTGGCCAAGTTCTTGTACACAAATAAATTTTAAAAGTTAAGTATGTGACTGATGCTGTGATTGGGTACTTCAGAAGCAGGAAGAAATGATAGATTTCTTCTTAGTGGAGAATTAGCCTCATTAGAAGTAAATAAAACTGCGGGAGATCTTCAAGAGGCAGGAAAATGCCCTCTAAATATTACAGATCAGGACCTCGTTCACAGCAAAACCTGCTTATGCTGGCAAGGGATTGTGAGCCACATCCTCTTTCTTTGCAGATAAACCCATAAATTAATTCTCAGTGTTTAAATGGCACTGTGCTGTAGCCAGATCCTGTTTTTCGTGCAAGGATGGGCTCTGATTTTGCTTTGTGCCTGTAGCAGTTAGAACAACACTACTGGCTTCAGTAGACCTGAATTCTGATTTCTCACAGATGTAAGGAGGATCCGAATGGAGGCATCAGTGGTCTGTGGTGTGGTTTCTTCCCCTGCAAGTAATTTGCAGTGTGACTTTTCTATAAATTAAGAGGAGAAGGGGAGAAGGGATTTATATTTAACCAGGAAACTGTGCAAACTACCTCCAGTTGAGAAAGGCAGCAGAAGAGATCTGCAATTACAATATAACTGCTTACAGAGAGAAGAACAATAATCTTATCCCCTGTTCGATGTAAACATGTTTAAAATGCTTGTTTAATACTTCTGTTATCAGATAATTAATTTTAATGAGAACTGCTGGTTTTAAATCAGTATATGACTGTATCCTCTGGTGGAGGCAGTTCTAGGTATTACTTTCACTAAGGTTTTTTCCCAGATAAGTTTTATTCTGTGCATGGACATTTATGACCACACCACGTGCAGTTCTGTATGTCACCTTTTTAAAATGTTAAGTAGCCTGTAGTGTCCTCTGTTTTACTGATAAAAAACTTACAAAGACATCAACTTTCTGAAATGCAAAGGGCTAATCTTTCTGTGGGCACTTAGTTTTCACAGATGATGCAAGGTTTGGGGAAAGGTGGGAAAATTCATCTATGTGTTGCCTGATCTAGCTGAGAGGTGTCCCTGACCATGACAGGGAGGTTGGATTAAATGATCTCTAAGGTCCCTTCCAGCCTAGGCCATTCTATGATCTGTAATTGTGCCAATGAAAACATTTTTGTCTTGATCCAAGGTGTATTTGTGGTCATGGAAGTAAGAGGAAAAAAACCAGTAGTAATATTCTCATGTTGCCCATAACACATTACGTCAAGCAAATCTTGTAAAAGGCAAGTCATGGGAAATGTTCGCTTGGAAATCCCAATCCTATGTTGCCACTGACAAAAGGGCATTCCATTTATAGAAGAAAGCAAGAAATAAATCAAATAAAGCCTGAGAAGCAAAATATTTTCACGATGACATTTAGCATGAACTGCAACAAACATTTTCTCAGGCAAGTTCTTCAACCTTTTTATTTTTTCTTTTTACAGTGGATGGAACTGAGGTTTAACACACTAGCAAAATGCCCACACTGCAAAAAAATGTAAGTTCTCTGAAAGCAAGGCTATGTAAGTTAACTTTTAAATATGTTGCTGGTTTTTTTTCATAAAAGTCTTTGGAATAAAATGTCTGCCATACTGATTATTTTGTTGTGCTTATCTGAATTTCAAGGCTAAAGAGCATGCTGTGTGCACCTGAATTCTGCACTCTTTACATACGAATCAGTAACTTTAACAAATACAACCTGCATTTATTAAAGTGCTCTAATTGAATTGCTAGAAGCAAAACTAAGCTGCTAACAATAGATAAGAATGGGTTGCTAAAATTAACAACTTATGTCCTTGAATTCTTACCACTTCATGCAGTTAATCAGATGTCATGTTTAAATGTAGGCCTTGAATTGCCTTATTATAAAAGGAGGAAAAGAAATAATTTTGTCTTAATTTGAAAGAGGTTTTACTGATTTCACAAACTCAACAGACTTGTGTTAAGCATTAGCTTGTTTAATGTTTACGAATTACCGTGGAATAACTTGTCTGCTCATTTCCTATTACTTCAGTAGGAAAGAGAAAAATGAGAATACAAGAACAGTAAGAATTTTTTTTGTGTTTTGTTTTTTGTTTGGGGTTAGTTTTTTCTTTTAATTAGTTTTTTGACCTTTTTTTATCCAAGGTCAGGACTACTTAGTTTGAAGTACTAAAAGCTACACTACTGACGTACTTCAAATTTGCATGGCATTTCAACCACAGGGTGTTAAATAAGACTTAAAAATATTACTTCAGAGACTTTCTTGTCCTGCTAATTTATGTAAATATTTATCTTCCTTTGAAAGGCAAGTGTGACATCCAGTTGAAGGAGCATATGTGTTTCCACTGGGAATGGAGAACCAGAGCTATGTTGCATGTTGCAGTAAGATCAGGGGAGGTTTAGACTGGATATTAGGAAAAATTTCTTTACCGAAAGAGTGGTGAGGCACTGGAACAGCCTGCCCAGGGACTTGGTGGAGTCACCATCCCTGAAGGCATTCAACAAACGTGTAGACGTGGCCCTTCAGGACGTGGTTTAGTAGTTGCGGTAGTATTGGGCTGATGGTTGGATATGATGATCTTGGAGGTCTTTTCCAACCTTAATGATTCTATGACTGGCTGGTCCCCTAGGAAGAAGGCTTAGCATAAGCGTACAGTAGGTGTTGGCATGGCTTGGCCTGGCCTTAGCAGTGACTGAAATATTTTACTGGGGTATTTCACAGAGAAGTCACCCTAGTGATACATTTAATATCATGAGCGTAACCAGTTGGGTGTGGAGTAGTGGAAATATTCTAGTTTGCTTAAGTCAAACTCATGGTCTTGATGAGAAGTTGCTTTGCAGTGGTGCTTTCCCTGGCTGTAATTGCATTCAGTCTTTTCATTCCTGAGAGGAGGGGTTGGTGTTTTGTGGGGGGTTTTTTGTTTATTTTTAAACTGATGGCAATTATGTTTTATATTTTGTCACGTCACATTTTATAGCCAACCTCAGCTGTTTTCTCAACTCTCCTTAAATACAAAATTACTTGCTCTTTAACCTGAAAAACAACAAAAACCAAACAAAAAAACCAACTCCAACAATAACAAAACCCCCACAACAGTCCAAAAGCCACGCCATGTGATCTGTTGATTTAAGTTGCCTGTATCTCAAAATCCAGCTGGAGTCTTAAGTATTTCGTAGTGTTTTTGTCTGCAAAGTGTAAAACATGTTCTCTGTATGCCACAAAACCTGAGCATCTCTGCAGTGCCATTGGTGAAAATTACAGCTTGCATGGCAACTGAATTACAGAATACAAAACAGATTTTAACACATAAGCATTTCTGACCTTGAACTGGGGATGCAAACTATGGAATGTTTTAATTTAACTTTGTATGAGTTGCTTGGTGTCTTCCCACATTTGAGATGCGGTGGTCAGGAGTTCTGCAACTTCCAGCAACATAAACATTTCTAATGCATGGATTTAGGGCACAGCGTAGGTGAGGCAGAGCTTTGCATTGTGATGGTGGAATAAATAACCGCAGTGACCTGCTGTTTTCTGTCAGCCCTTCGTCAGAGGTTGTCCTACCTGTGGCCAAGTAGTCCAAAGGGAATGTGGGGTTCTTTATTTCAGCTTATTAGTGCAAAACTTCTTTCATTAGCAGCTGACTAGTCAGATGAAAAACTATTAATTCCTTCTGTTGACTCAGTTGATGTCACTGAGAAAAGGATAGAGGTGGAAGGCACCTGCAACAGTAGGTTTTTTTTCAAGAAGACACCTGCTGAGAGGTTTACATTCCCAAGTAATTTTCATGCCTTTGTTTCAAACATTTTTTAAAGTGCAGTGAATCTCTGCAGAGAGCTTGTTTGTGGTCATCTGTTTGGTTGATGGAGACTAGATCTTAAGAATGCCCTGTAAAATTGCAGGGGAAGTTAGGAGTTATTGCATGAAAAGGTCGATAAGAGAACAATGTTCACTGAAAATAAAACAACTGTGCCACAAGAGTATATAAACAAAGGAACCTTTTGTATCTGAATGCTGAGGGAAACAAGGTCCTGGGTTTCTTATTATTAATCCCATCTACCTGCTACCATTGTGGTTACAAATTTATTCTTTTGTGACATACTTGTTTTTTGCCTGTATCTCTTCCCATATTTCCTCTCGCCACCACTCCAGAGATTCCTCCCCACCCAAATAATCTGGAAAATAGGGAAAGTAAGTTGTGATGAGGTGAATAAAATCACTTATTTGGCAAATAACCAGATCTCTTTGGAAATGGACTACAAACCTGGTCATTTCAGTATAGGTAATATGTCTGCAGAAGCCCCGCTGATGTCTAGTGGTTCTGCCTGACACAGACTGTTGGTTGTGTGTTACCTGAAGCATTGGTACAGCAAAGGTACAGCTAATGAGGAAATTGTTGTAATGTAATTTTTATTTTACAGAGGAGATACCTGAGATTGGGGGAGAAACTGTTTCTTTTTACTGTTTTAGTGTTCTTTTACCTTTCAAAATACCTCTTCATAGTGATGTCCAGTAATAGGACAAGGAATAATGGGTGTAAGCTAGAACATAAGAAGTTCCACCTCAACATGAGGAGAAACTTCTTTCCTGTGAGGGTGACAGAGCGCTGGCACAGGCCGCCCAGAGAGGTTGTGGAGTCTCCTCCTCTGGAGACTTTCAAAACCCACCTGGATGCGTTCCTGTGTGACCTACTGTAGGTGATCCTGCTCTGGCAGGGGGTTGGACTAGATGATGTCTAGAGGTCCCTTCCAACCCCTGACATTCTGTGATTCTGTTTATGAGCCTTTTTCCCAAAAGACCAAGAGGTTTAAGGAAGGCTTCTGGTATTTTTCTTGTGTAATGACGGAGAAGCAGCACAAAGTGTGTTGTGTCTTCTGCTCTCTTTCCTAAGCTGTATATTAAATCATCTAGAAACTTCCAGGATCATGAATTCAGTTACTAGAAAGAGAATTGAATAGTACAAGCTTTTATGTCAGAATGCCAAATCTATCTACCTCTATTCCTTTTTTTTAATGTCTGATAAAATGATAAACTCTTAATGAACTTACAACACTTTTGCCCCCGGAAGCCTGCAGGACCTTTAGGAAAGCGATTGATTTTGGAACTGTGTCACTGCTGTGGAGGCTAGTTTCCGCAGTGCTATTCACCTTCAAAATACTGGCATTTTGATCTTCCTCTTAAAAACCCTTCTATAAAACCCCATCTGAAATCCTGGCAGTAATTCCCGTTATTTGGAGCACAATAGACCCTGCATTGCCTCCTGGGCGACTCCTTTAATAGCCTCTGTTTCTTGTGGTGGTTTTTCTTTCTTCTAATTACTGCCTGATGTTAAATTGGCTTTGGTGTCTGTTATATCTGCTGCTGCCCAAAGGTCTGTCAGGTGCCTTTGCTTCCTTAGCAAAGCTCAGAAAGAAAGGACTGCTGCCTTCTGGAGAGCTTTCTAGTGAGTTCATCCTCATTAATCCCTCAAAGGAAACAGCTGACACTGTGATTTAAAAAAGTTCTTTTGACCCCAGCTTTAATATTTCTGAATGTATATGCCTGTCAGAGTTCCCACAGTTGGTAGGTTTTTGGGGTAGGGTTACAGTTTTCTTTATTCAAAGTTAGAGTTTTTTATGTGTAATTTGGGGGTTGTTAGAGGAAAACCTCACTATTTTAGAGCAGCCCAGTGACTAATATCACTGTTAAGAGATGAAAAATAAATTATGATTTATTTGGTTTGCTAAGTATTTCCAGTTCTGTTATGTGACTGTAGAAACAATATATTTCTTTATCTTTGCTTTCTGTGGAAATAGAAAGGCCGTTAAACTAAGATATTCTTTACGTTTCCTTTTTGCAGTATTTGAGATTTTCCCCACACCCGGCCTTTATTACTGGATATGAGGTGGGGGAGCTTGAGAGAGATTTGGATGGAAAAATACACATGGCACCTGCAATATTATGATAACAAAACCAAGATCTTAAGTCAGAGAGCTCTGAAAGTGAAGGTCTCTTTCCCGAAACGAACCTTGTCTCTGTGTGAAGTACACAGTGCAGTAAATACCATGAGTGTTCTTAGGTGTATTGAACATGACATTTCTACCAGCTTATCTTAAGGTATCCAGCTCTGTAATAGAATTAACTTTCTGAGTACAGAGCCAGAAAATCCTGCAAGGGAGGGGACCTCGGGTCAGTTTGGCAAGCTCAGTGCTCATCAGCTCAGCTTTTGGAGAAATCTATTCCCAGTCCCATTTTATAAAACTTTTGTTTATTTGTTTTTCCCTCATATAACTTGAAATCAGACAACATATCCCTCTTCTAGAATGACTGTAGAAGTACTTAGGGTGGCTTTTGGGGAATGTGAGGTGATGTGTCGGGGGGTAGTATGATGCTGTTATTTCCCAACTGGGAATTCTCCTGCTGTAATTGCAACCCACGCATCCTTCTCTCACCACCCCCTCTGCCTCAGACCTATCCCAAGTGTGTATGGTGAGATTTTTGGTAAGAAGCAATTCCCCTGGGAAATTAATGAGCAAAACAGTTTTGGAACTTTCCCTCTTCTTCTGAAAATGTGTAACAGATGGCTTGTGAGTGGTCACTGTATTCAGTCCTTGCCTTGTAAGATGAAGCTCAGCATGTTAACTTGAGGATGGGGGGTTTTTTTCTTTTTCTTTTTTTTTTGTTTCTTTTTTTTCCTTGGAGCATTTTAGAAATTCCTTGTAAAGAAATAATATTGGGATTAAAGCAGCTTAAACCAATCTATTTGAAGGCTTTTTAAGGCGAATGCTTAAAAAAGTTTAGTCACATGCTAAGCATATGAGGCCTTACTATGTGGTTAATTAACTGGAGCCAGAAATTTGGTCAGTCATATGACAGATGTACTACTTCAGTAGCTCAGCAGAGCTTTCTTCTGTTACATGTTTATATTGAATACATTGAACTGTCATGAGATGATAATTACTTTTTGTTGCACCTTTGAACACAGAGTAAAAGCATCCCAGTATTTTCAAAGGCATGTTGATCTCTCGGAATGGGATGAAGTACTTAACTAATGATAGCATGCGTCAGGATGCTTCAGAACTACTTCTGAGATAGATGGTATGTGCTTTAAGAAAGCACCTCTGCCTTGCTGGTTCTTTCAAAGGTCCTATGTGTTCGCCCTATTTCAACTGGAATTAAATCACATTCCTATTTTCATTAGCATAGCTGTATTGTGGTTGCAGATGTGTGACTCGATGTATTTGCTAAACAACGGTGAGCTTCTGGAATAATTTTTCTAACCTGTAGTAAAGAATGGAATGTTTTATTTGTGTTTTATATTCTGTTTGACTAAAGCACTGTAACAATTAGTGTAAAGCAGCAGGTAGAGACAAAGCTGTCTGTCTTGGAATTTATAATCTAGATGATGAGTGACAGAACTTCGAGGGGATTTACTTACCTTATTTGTCAGCAGTTGTTTGTGCAGCTCATGTAACTTGTGGTAGAACTCTAAAAGAAAATTGGAAAGTAAAAAAGGACTTATCATGTTTTTGAAGTTACTAAAACCGACTTAAACGTGCCTGAAGATGTTCAATCTTTGGAAATGTTGAACATGAGAATTTGTTCGTGTTTGTGACTAAAACAGTTTGGGTTTGTTATCTTCAAGAAATGGGGTAGAGTTTAGCCACTCAACAATACTGAGTGAACTAGTCCAGTAAATAGTACAGGCTACTATTGTTAGTGGCAGTTAGGGTTCATAGAGGTGATTTCCAGTTACTTAGATGCAGTGAATGTGTCAAAGCCATGTATTGAAATATAAAAATCTAAAGGATGCCTTACAACCCACATACAAGCTGCAAAGCAAACTGGGGTTTTGCAATCCAGAGGCTATTCAAGGTGCTTATCTGGGTGCTCTGTGGATATAGGAGGTAGGCACACTCAAACAGTAGGTGTGGCACTACGCCACAAGTAAGCACCTAGATTTTTAGATACTTGATAATCTTAACCAATAGTTTCCCTTTAAAACAAGTATGTGAACTCTTGTCTTTTACTGCTTGGTGTAATTGTAAACTTTGCCCACAGCTTTATAAACTTAAGATGGTGTATGCGTATTGCCATTCTCTTCTCCCTCCGTTTAGACTGAACAGCTATTTATGTAGGGGTTTTTGTTTTATTAATTCGAAATACCTTTTATTTTCTATCAGTTCTTCTGTTGGAAGTGCACTGCCAAGGAGACGCTGCTGCGCATATATTACAATTGGAATGATATGCATCTTCATTGGAGTTGGATTAACTGTGAGTGATGTACTACGATAGACTTGTGACTGTGTGCAGGGGTGTGCGTATCAAAGGAGCTTCCTTGGTCAGCTAGTTCTTCTTTCCTCAGCATTTGAGTAAAACCTCTGAAGTTTGCCTTGGTTTTGTCACTTTCTTAAAGTCATGCACTTAATTGTCTGAGTTAGCCAGGAAGATGAAAAAAGTTCTGGCACTTCATTGTGATGTTAAATTGGACTCTTCATCTCTCTAAAAAATTCAATTTTATGAAAAATGGTTGTATTTCACTGTAGAAATATTAGAACATTTTGCTCTTACTAGGGCCCTCAAAACTTACAGGTTTCCAGAAATACATATTGATGTACAGCCAGGAATGTAAGTTCCACTGCAGTGGAGAGGAATGGGATTCCAAAAGTTAGAAACGCGTGTGCCTTTGTAACTTGTATAAGTTATAAGGACAAAAACCAGATAATAATTTACAAATTAGAATTCTGGCATTGTTGTTATTCTGTTCCTAAGAAAATTACCTGGTTGGTTTGGTTCTGAAGTATCTGATATTGATTACTAGAGCCAGCTTTTTATCTAGCAGTCCCAGAAAAGTACACATGAGGAAATACCCGTAGTTGAATTCATATGTGTGACTCTCATTATGCCTCTAACTTGCATTATAACCTGAGTAATTTATGGGTGAGCTTAAATGTGTTATGAAGGATTTTCCCTAATAATAACAGTCACAGCCAGACATAGAAATGGTGAGCAACAGATTTCTTAAATATATATATATATTTTTTTTTTTTTCGATAACAACCTTAAGGAATTTGAAAGTAACACAAACTTTTCACCATGAGGTGTACCCAGAACCTTCTGTAGCCTCCATCCTTGGAGCAGTTTGGGACCCAGTTGGGTTAAAACTCTGGTCTGACCTCAGAGTTGACCCTAGTTTGATTTGGAAGCTGACACTAGAGACCTACTGATGTCCCCTCCAAGCTGAATTATTCTACGATGGTATAAAATTAAGCTAATAAAATAGCTGATTTATCCTCACCGGAGTAAAGAAGGTGCCAGAATGTTTCTCCTTAATATAACTTGCTCTTCCCTGAAAAGCAGATAGTGCTGTATGTTTGACACTTTTGTTTTGTCTTTCCAGGTTGGTACCCAGGATTTCGCCCGGCGGTTTCATGCAACGTATGTTTCTTGGGCTATCGCTTATCTCTTAGGTTTAATCTGCCTCATTCGAGCCTGCTACTGGGGAGCCATTAAAGTCAGTTATCCAGAGCACAGTTTTGCATAGAGGAATTGTTAGGTTATAGCAAATGAACATCTAGTAAATCTGGATATTACATCTTGGACACTTTTAAAACCTTTCCTGTAAGGATTCCATTCTGTTCAAAGTAGTTTTAAGACTGGGGGTCTCCAAGAACAAATGTTCATTGCACTACATAATATGCAAATAGTTTGTTTTGCTGCTAGATTCCCTAGCTCTGAATACTAAAGCTGTGTTTACATGTTCATAACTCTGTCTTTATAGGTGTTGAATTTTCTTTCAACAGACAGTATTAAGTTTTACATTTCCTTTGTTATGTTAAAATCCGTCTGCCATTTTTCTAGTTTATCAGTAAGAATTCAAAAGCAAAAGTGTTTATAAGTGTTTCTACAGTAGCTTCACATTTGTACTTAAAATTTTAACTAAAATTATATTGAAGTGGCTTGCTTTAAAACCTAAGCAATAAGCATTTTGCTTGAACTGCTTACTGTATCTTTTGCCTAAGATCATAGTGACCTTATCCAGGAAATGAAAGTTATGAGTGTACTTTAAACGACTGATGCTGTTGCTAGAGAGACATTTGTAAACACTGTATGCTTGAGATTTTTGAGGTGGAGAGATGCTATTTCGGTAGTCCAATTAAATTTCCATTTATCCAGGATTGGGTTACAGTTAGGATAAATGTTTTCTTCTCAAGGGTCCTGGGACTTAGGTGTTTGGGGTTTTATTTTGTTTTGTTTTTTTTAACTGGCAAATCCTAAAAGCCATGCTCGGATTATGGAACTTAACTCTGGTTATTCGTACAAGTTCCTTTACAGGGTCTAAGGGAAGCATTTCATATGACTTGTTTCATAATACTTCAGTGTCACATAGGTGACAATATAATGGTGATGGGTTGCCTCTTTCTTTCCTCTGATCATGTCAGATTTTCCCTGTTTGGAGAAGCTGTGCACTGGTCACTGCAAAGGGAGACACTGTAAATTCACATTAACTGCTGTAATAAGGAAATGGGTAAACTATTACTATTACTGGGACCATTCCATCAAAGTACATCTAGTCAAATTTAGCACTGACTTGCAAAGAGAATACGGAGACAGAAAGTTTTTTCTAATGATGTATTCCAAAAGGATCGAGGGACCAGTTCTTGCACTGCCCATCTTTAAAATTTTAAACAAGTTTTTGCTAAATTCAGAAGGAATGTCCTGAGTTTTAGATGACTGTAGTGATTTAGATAATGGGGTCAGATGGGTAAATTAACGTGGATGTTTCAGGGATACATGTAATTTAAATTATCTATGTTCCTGCTAGGACAAAATGTTATTCAGATAAGGATTTTGGAGCACAATAAATGTAAATGATCAAACTGTAAATGATCTGTCTTTGTATGATGCTAAATGTATAAAAGCAGTAGCTCAGGATTACAATGTACCTTTTACAAATAAACTAATAAAGAAATAAAGATTATTATTCAAACTTAAGATACTTTGTTATTCGTGTATAAATAAAATATACAAGTGGAAGAATTTTCTTGTATGATTCAGGATCAACAAGGGTGTCGTGCAGCAGGGGTGAGCTTTGCATTTTTGCCGAGTGGCAGCCTCAGGAATATAAAAGAGCAAGAATAAATTGCAGTTTTCTTGAAGTTTTGGGAAGAATATGGAAGTAAGTGAGAGATGAGAGCACTGTTGGCCCTATGTGTTCTTTAGTCAGTGGCTTATTGAGGGTATATGCTAATACACTCTCTTCTTTTCCTAATGCCATTTACATCCCTTTACTGTAGGGATTTGCTGCGCTTGTTTGCATCTTAAACGTTTGAATACTCTGTCCAGTTGTCTTGAATTTCAGTATATTGCCTGCCCTCTGCATCCGGAAGAAAAGCAGGCTGTAGCTGTATAGAAAATCATCTACTCCTTTTGTAACTTAAAGGAGGGTGGGGAGTGGGAAGCCTGAGTATAATGTTAATGAATCAAAGGAATTTGTACTTTCCCTCCCTGTGTCAGGCTGTACTTTATTTCTTATCTCATGTTCCTCCTTCTTCTTCTCAGCCTTTTTAAGCAGAAAGGAAGATACATAAAGTTATTTTTGTCCAGATCAGGATAATACCCTGGCATTTTCTACTGCTTCCCTTTGCAGAGTAAACCATTGTAATTATTTCTATAAAATATTAAATGCATTGTCTCATGCTATTTTGACCACTGCTGGGAACATAAGAAACATGATATTTCAACCCTAGAAGAAAATTAATGTAGAATCTGAAGGACCTCTTTAAGGGACTGGAACAGATTTGTCTGTTTGTGGAACAGGCTTGTTTGCAGACCATCGTGATGTTTTGTGCTGGACTGCATCTCAACCCATTAAACTTCTCTAAACTTGAATTAAAAAAAATTAAAATCCTGTTGTATATATACTGACCACTAGAAGAAGTTTCATCTTTTATAATCACCGATTTCTTCTGTTGACTTTTAATAGTGTTTTTAATAGTCTTTGTCTCAGTGTATTATTTTTATGTTGAGTGGGGTAAGAAGCTATCTGAATTCACAAATTAAGGGCTTCTGCGTTTTTACGTTTTAACTTTCCCCCTCCCTACTGTCCTTCCACTACTTCCCACCAACAAGTTTTTATACAGACTGAGCGTCATTAACTAGAAAACACTTCAGACCTTAAACTGTGCTTTAGTTTTTAATTACAAACCTACTGATGAGTGAGTGTGGTACTGGTTTTGTTTGTACCAGTTGTACATATGCTGGTATGTCGTCTTTCAAAAACAGAAGACTAGAGAGTAGTGTTTCTGAAAATGGGGTTATCAGAAGATCTTTGTCACGAGTATCAAGTTGAAAGAAGCTAGAGGTTTCAATTCACCTTGAAGTGCTTAGAGAAGATGCTGAAGCAACTGTGGAGCCATTAGTGGATATTGCTGAGAAATGGAAGATGAGCAATATTTGTTTTTACCTCGTTTATCAGACAATGTATGTCTTTACAAACAGAGAGGAAGCTAAGGCAACACCTTAACATCAAGTACTGGAAAATCCCTGTAACTAACTCTAGGCCCTTGAATAATAAATAGGTGAGTAGCAGCAAAGATGATGTGTCATGTTAGATCAATGTAACTGCCTTTTTCTGACAGGGCAAAAATTCTAAATGCAGTATACCCTCTAAAATATCTGTGAAGCAAGCTGCATCTCCAAGATTCAGAAACACCAGTAAAATTATTTTCCAAGCAAGCTTCAGAAAAACTAGTAAAATTATTCAGAGTGGTTATGAAACTGGAGGACATGGCAAGTACATGCTAGATATTTGGAAACATTTAATATTTTTGTAAAGTTAGTGTGCTGTTCGTCAATTTCATTCCTAGCTGATGAAGCAAGCTGAATGCCTGTATTCTCTGTTTTCCTATTTATTTTCCTTCTTACGTGTGATTCAAATTTACAATGCCAGGGACTGAGCTTTCCCTTTCAAAAAAATTTATTGTGGAGAAATAGATCAGTGTTGGAGAAATTAGTATCACTTAACTATTTGCAATAGAAAATTCTAATAATATCATTTAGCTTAATGTGTAACGTTTAAAAGCCGAGCTCTCATGATGTTAAATCCCCCATCATACCGGAGGTTATTTTCTTTATAGTGGAGTTACAAATCACGTTTGTTTCAGTAGCAATATCACATTAAATTGTCCCCAGTCTTCAGCCTTCAGTTGTGTCTATCCCTGTACCACAGCTCGGGAGCAGAGCTGTGCTGCCGGTGGGGCATGAGCGACTGCCCTGTACACGTATCACTGGCAGGGAGTGAAGTCTGCTTGAAAATAACTTAAAAAGTGTTTCATTAATTCAGGGGGGTTTTCAGTGATTTTATTGGTACAGTCAATGTGGAGCAGATTGTATGAAGGTGAAGGAACAAAAGGCTGGAGGTCATCACGAAGGAGAAGGGAGAGAGGAACTTAATCCGATTTAAGTTATTTGCAAGATTTTATGGTTATTTGAGCCAACAAGAAAAGAATACCTAGGATCAGTTTCCTACAGCATTAACCACAAAACGGCTTTTATTTTAGAACAATAAGGCTACTTGTTAGCTTGATTAGCTAGCAACTCATCATGTTACACTTCACTGGAATCTGGAGAAATCTACCAGGGCGGTTTCCCTGTCTCACTTTTTCTGCTTTTGCATTCACGTGGAAGCATTTGCTGTGGGCTTCTTTCAGGGAAAAAAAAAAGGACATTGGGCTAAACAGATTTTGGAACTGGATTTGTATAGGTGGTTTTATGGTTGCTTTCTAACAGATTATTAGCAAGAAGTATGTTCAGCTGAACCTTGTGAACAAAAGTAACAGGATAGAGTATGGATTGGAAATTGCTGGTCCAGCTGGCAAGCTGTCTGTCACTGTAATGATCCAGTGAAATGATTATCAAATGCGTTTAAGAACATCTATTATAAACAATGGCTAAAAGATAAAACTGGAAGCATGGGGTCATAAGGACAGTTCCATATTATGGTTTTATTTGATAGCTGTGCATCTTGTAATGGAGAAAATTTATTTCAAAGTAAATACAACACTAGCTCTCTTGCATAGCTTTATATCAATTTGTAATGACATGGTTATAGTTCTAGCTTCTTACATGTAAGTGTGCTGCTTAGTGTTTAAAGAAAATAATAGGGGGAGGGGAAAAGAGACTGAGGTTAGAAAAACACCTCTGAGGGCACGCTGCTTATTTTTCTTGCAATATTTCCTAGAGAAAATGATGTCGCTGATGGAATTTCAAGACTCATTTGAGTTAAACTGTGTGAGAAAAGAAGTTGCTAGCAGGCTTATGGGTGCAGGCCAAATGACATAGACCATATTACCTTCACAGAAAGATTAGACTCAATTTCTAGTACTTCCAAAGCAACAAATGTAAACTTTTACTGTTATTCAATGAATTTGCCTACCCATACAACTCTTTTGTCATAATTTCAATTTGTTGACAAAATTAGCATAATTGCCTAGATATGAAGTAGGTAGAGGATTCAATTTTTGTATTATTTTCCTCCATACATTTATCTATGTAGTATTACTGGAGTATTTTGGGTCATCTTTATTTTCATAATGTGGTTATCATATTTTCTTCTAATATTTTTAATTTTGTGTCTGTAACTTATACTACTCTGTGCAGTTATCTGTCCATTTGTTGAAGTTAAACTTGAAATACTTCGAAATCTTGCCTATTTAAGGGATGCCTCTACAACATCCTGACTGTAATTTCTAACCATTTCAGAGAGACAAAACATAAAGCACCTTGAAGAAATGAATCTTTAATACAAGGGTTCTACTGAACATCAATTTGAAAGCTGTAACACACCTCCTGGGGAGGTCTACAAGCTTGAAGCCTCTCACCTTGAGCAGGCTGTGCGACGAGGAACCCCAAACACTCCCCAGGTGATAGAATTATAGAATAGAATCATATTGTTGGAAAAGACCTTCAAGATCATCAAGTCCAACCTTTATCTAACTCTGCCAGGTCCACTTCTAAGCCATGTCCCTGAGCACCATATCTAGACGGCTTTTAAATACATCCAAGGATGGCGATTCAGCCACTTCCCTTGGATTTGTTCTCTGATACCTTCACTGTCTGCATCAGTCTACCCTGTATCGGGAAAGACAGGCTGGAAGACCTGCAGAAGCAAGACATTCATCTCTAACATTAAAAGCACTTTTGTGATCCCAAGTTCCCTCCATGAGCACTGTCCTGTGTGTCCAAGGGACTTGAACCATCACGTTCCTGGCAGAAATGCCCTGAGCTTGACAGTACCCAGGCACACCCTGCATGTCCCAGGAACAGGGTGAAGTAGTAAAACCTTTAGAGTTAAATCCACCCCCAAAAGGCTCAAAACAACTAAGAAACAAGAACTACAAACAGAATCTTAATTTTTGTGGGTTTTTAAGTTATAAAAGAGTAAATGTCACTTATAAAGCTGTTGTATTTAATGCTATATTTAGATTGTATAAACAGGGCACTAGGAAGCTAATGGAGCTAAGCAAAATTGTTAAAAAAAATGCACAGTACTAAACAACAACAATAAAATCAAGAGCCTGCTATGAAATAGCTTAGATTATCCTCAAAGATCTGGCTCTCACAAATAAAAAATAATAATCTCATTGTTATGCACTAATCTCTTTCTAAGTTGCTTTGCAGGTGGTCCTCTTCACCAGCCCTGACAAGGCGGATGAAACACTCATCACTATAAGCATCACTGTGTACCTACTGTCTTATACAGTGCTAACATGAGAACTGTCCCCAAATTCATGACTAAATTAGAAAAACACTAAAGTGCTCTCGCTTATATGTTGCTGAACAGAACAGATGCTGTTGGTTCCCTGAAAATTTGTTAGAATCTGCATTTCTATTCAAAATACTGCTTGGTTTAAATGCCCTGTCACCAGGATCAGAGGTGAGATGTGCCAAGACTTCATTGACTGGCAGGCTTGCAGCAAATTAACACCTT